CTGTTGAACGTTTAGAATACCTTTACAGTAAGTTAACATTTTACAGAATATCATTTTTTAGATAAAATACTGAATGTTTATTATAAAAAGTCTGAATGATTACAAGGCTTGAATTAGAAGAGAAAACTGTAAGGATCTTTTCTAGCACCAACATAATGTTTGGGTAAAAAAATATTATATAAACAGTAAATTTAGTTGAAATGTTTATATTTTCAGCTGAATTTACATTTTATCAGATTTGTGTTTAATATGTGTGAAACTGACTGAGTTACAGATGTTTTTGTCAGTTAGTTCCAAACGTGGTAAAATGTGTCTGAGTTACATTAGAGACTGTCTACTGGTTTATGAGATATTTTGCTAACAATGGAGAAATTAACACTTATTCGCAGACTTAAGTGACAACATTATCATTCTAAGGGAAAACAATACATTTTAAAGTGGGTGTGTGTGTATGTAGAGGGGTATAATGAAAAAAAAAATTTTTTTGCTTTATATCATCTTATTTTCTTATTCTGTCATCACAAACACACCCAGAGTGTCACTTTGACTCATTCATGTTTGATACTGTATATCCTGTGGTAGCCATGAGGAGCTGCCTAAACGCTTGTTGGACCAAAAGCCCCGCCTATTTGTACATAGCTCCACCCTAGAGCTGCAGCCGAGCGCCCACCTCACAGAGCATCCCTCCCCTGAAGCATTGTTGTGAAGACGTGCTGAAGTGGGAGTGTCAGAAATAGTAGGAGGTTCTTAAAAAGATAGAGACCAGTCTCAAGACATTTAGATAAACTGTGATGCAAAATCTAATTTATTTTATTTATAAGGCAGCATTTTTACAACAATTGAAGCAACTACATATTGTTTGTTCGCATCTTATCCAATCTGAATTTAATGAAACTTTCAGAGAGTTACTATTGGATGTACATCTACAACTGATTAACTTTCAGTCAGCTTGATTCAAAATGGCTGACAAAACTAAATGATGGGCTAAAACTAAATTATGTTTACAGATGCTAAATAAAAAATCAAATCTTTTCAGCAGCTCAGAGACATCAACAACACATTCTGAGGGCTAAATGATTGTACAAGATCCTTTGCATGCAAGGCAGCAGGGGATATGCATTTCTTCAGCTCATTTTATTTCTAACGTTAAGCGTGACCCAGTGCTAAATAAAAAAAAATGGTTTTGAAAATCTAAGCTTATTTTTTAAAAAGTTAACATTTTGAAAATAAAAATCTAATTAAATGATAATCTTTAGTCACAATTTAGGGGCTTTGGATCAGAAGGTAAATTTGTTTTATGGTTTTGTTCAGTAACACTCAACTAAACCTTCTGTCCCGCCAAAATAAAACACTCCAAGCTGTTCCTAAATGTCAGCTGGTGCTGTAGCAACACTAGTTATAAAGATTAGCTACAATTTAAAAATGAGATTTAAAATTCTAAACAATCAAGTGTTTATCTATCATACAAACAATACAAAAGCAGCTCTTCCTACATAAAAACAAACCTGTTTTCTGTCTCATCAGGTCAGGTCTGTTTCTAACATCCAGGGGGCGCTGTGCAGCTGGAGGAACAGGATCAGGTTAACACTGGTCAGTGTTCACAATGACCTCATGTCAGATTTTTACAATAAAAAAAAAAAAAAACCTTCAGCTCCTGTTTTAGCTGATGTTACAACCTGAATTTTTCAACGTTGACTGGCTGTCTGATGGTTTCTGTCCTGTGAGGAGAAACAGATCAATAAAACAAGCAAAATAGTTTTTACAACACAAAAAGCTCAAAACTTTCCTTTCTGACTGCCTGTCACCTTCCAGAGACCCTCAGTTACAGACCCCGCCCTTTCTGTTTGATTGACAAGTATTTTCTGAAGTTCAAGCAGTTTGATCTGAAGCTGAGATGATCAGTTTCTTTATGTGCTGATGAAATTTTACACATGAAAAAATAAACACAATCGTATTAAAACATCCAATTTAGACTCATGCTTTACATTTTAAATTGGTATTAATAAAATGTTGTATTTTAAGGACTAAATAAAAT